CGGCCCTCCGCCCGGGGCCACCCCTCTCCAGTGCCCCGACTCCTCGAGGAGCGGGTCTGGGCCTGCGGCGCACACCGGGCCCGTGGGCGGGGGGCAGGGACCGCGTGCCCCACCCCGCCGCACACATACCCCGCTCCCACCTGCAGGTGAACCAGGGGAACATGCCCGGGATCCAGAGCACCTTCCTGGCCATGGACACGGAGGAGGGGGTGGAAGTGGTGTGGAATGAGCTCCACTTCGGCAACAGGAAGGCCTTCGCGGCCCACGAGGTGAGAATGGCTGCCCCTTCACCCCCGTGCCTGGCCGAAGGCGGCCAGGTGACCGTCCCCCTCCCCAGGAGAAGATCCAGACCATGTTCGAGCAGCTGGCGCTGGTGGACCACCCCAACATCGTGAAACTGCACAAGTACTGGCTGGACTCCTCCACGGCTCGTGCCAGGGTGAGCCGGGGCGCGTGTGAGGGGGCTGGGGGCTCCTGGGGCGCCGGGCCGTGGGCTGCCCCCTGAAACGGCAGAGCCCTGCACCCGCCCCGCAGCTCATCTTCATCACCGAGTATGTGTCCTCGGGCAGCCTCAAGCAGTTCCTCAAAAAGACCAAGAAGAATCACAAGGCCATGAACACACGGGTAAGGGGAGTGGGCCAGGAGGGGACCTGGAAGGTCTGGGACGGGGCAGGGCCGGGGCAGTGGAGGGCTCAGGGCAGCTCGGGACAGGGCCAGGGCCAGGGCGGCAGGCAGGCTCCACAGGCCCAGCCGCGTCTGCACCCACCCAACGGAGCCATGCGTCCACCGCCAGGCCTGGAAACGCTGGTGCACGCAGATCCTGTCGGCGCTCAGGTGAGGCCTGGGTTTGCTCGGCTTGTCCCAGTGGGCCTCATCTCTCCCCCGCCCTCTGACCTGGCGCCTTCTCCTCCCCACCGCGTCCCCAGTTTTCTGCATGCCTGCAGCCCCCCCATTATCCACGGAAACCTGACCAGTGACACCATCTTCATTCAGCACAACGGCCTCATCAAGATCGGCTCCGGTGCTGGCAGGGCCGGGGCAGGGGCGGGGGGGGCGGGGGCAGGGGGCAGGGGGGGGGTAGGTCCAGGGAATCTCAGGGAGCCTAGGGCAGAAGTGGTTGGTGACGCCGCCTGCTGACGTTCATCCTCTCCGATGTGGCCCGCGCAGTGTGGTACAGGATCTTCTCCAATGGTGCGTGGGGCCTCTGAGGGGATCCCAGGGTGCGTGGGGAAGCACTGTGCTCAGCCCCACGCTCTTCCCTAGTGCTCCCGGACGACCTCCGCAGCCCCATCAGGGCCGAGCGTGAGGAGCAACGGAACCTGCACTTCTTCCCTCCGGAGTACGGTGGTGAGTCTGGGGCAGACAGTCCAAGGTGGGCAGCCCGGGGCAGTGAGGCCGGGGCAGTGAGGCCAGGGTGGGCAGTCCAGGGCGGCCCATGCCCCCTGCTCACACAGCCACCATTCCCACCTGCCCCCACCTCCCCCGTGCAGAGGTCAACGATGGGACGGCGGTGGACATCTTCTCCTTTGGGATGTGTGCCCTGGAGGTAGTAGCACCCCTCCCAGCCCCTTTCCAGTGGGCTCTCCCCCCACCTTACCTGTGCTCCATTCCGGCTGCACCCCAGATGGCTGTTCTGGAGATCCAGGCCAACGGGGACACCCGAGTCACAGAGGAGGCCATTGCTCGAGCCAGGCACTCTCTGAGTGACCCCAACATGCGGGTGAGTGCTCGTCCTGCCCTTGAGCCTGGCTCTAGGTGGCCAAGGAGGCCGGCGAGGTGCTTGGAGCGGGCTAAAGGGGTTAGCCAATCAGGACAGCTGAGGGTGAGCCAGCTGCTGCCTGGAGGACCCTTTCCCCCGCCCTCCCTCCCAGAGGAGGGCTCACTGGAGCTCATTGCTCCTGCCAGTCAAGGATTGTAGAGTGTGGCTGCGGAGCCCAGGCCCTAACTGTCCTCAAGGCCCTCGAGTCAGGGCCTGGCTGGGCTGCTGGTGCACTGCCTTCCCCTGCGTGCTCACCTGTGTGCTCAGGGCATCCCTGAGGAAGGGAGGGCTGGGGGATTGGGGCTCTGGGGGAGGGAGGGCTGGGGGACTGGGGCTCTGGGGGAGGGAGGGCTGTGGGACTGGGGCCCTGGGGGAGGGAGGGCTGGGGGATTGGGGCCCTGGGGGAGGGAGGGCTGGGGGATTGGGGCTCTGGGGGAGGGAGGGCTGTGGGATTGGGGCTCTGGGGGAGGGAGGGCTGGGGGATTGGGGCTCTGGGGGAGGGAGGGCTGGGGGATTGGGGCTCTGGGGGAGGGAGGGCTGGGGGATTGGGGCTCTGGGGAAGGGAGTTTTGTGAGGACCAGGTTCTCAGGCCCAGCAAAGGGCAAATTGCAGAGACCTGGGGTCCTCACAGCACCCCTTTCCCTCTCTATGGGCTCTAGCCTCCACTCACCAACTGCTTCTCCTCCCCACACCCCAGGAGTTCATCCTGTCCTGCCTGGCCCGAGATCCTGCCCACCGACCCTCTGCTCACAACCTCCTCTTCCACCGTGTGCTCTTTGAGGTGCACTCGCTGAAGCTGCTGGCTGCCCACTGCTTCATCCAGCACCAGTGTGAGGGGAGGTGGGCTGGGTGGGGGCGGGGCCCTGCGGGACCTGTGGGCTCACTGCCTGAGGCCCACCGCCCTATGCATTTCTACGGCCCACAGATCTCATGCCTGAAAATGTGGTGGAAGAAAAGACCAAAGCAATGGATCTGCACGCAGTGCTGGCAGAGATGCCTCAGCCCCGCGGGCCCCCGACACAGTGGCGGTGAGGAGCCGGGCGGAGGCTCCCTGGCAGCTCCCCAGTGCCCCCACCACGCCCGCCCCTCATGTGTCTCCCACCTACGCCAGGTACTCGGAGGTCTCGTTCCTGGAGCTGGACAAGTTCTTGGAGGATGTCAGGTGAGCGCTGAAGGAGGCTGAGGCATGAGCGCTGCCAGGCCCAGGCCCCAGACACCCTCTGCTGTGTCCCCAGGAACGGGATCTACCCGCTGATGAATTTCGCGGCTGCGAGGCCCCTGGGGCTGCCGCGTGTGTTAGCCCCACCGCCAGAGGAAGCCCAGAAGGCCAAGACCCCCACACCAGAGCCCTTCGACTCAGAGACCAGGAAGGTGAGTCCTCACACCCTGCTGGCCCTCACTGACGCCACCCGGAGGGCTTCGGCCTTGAACATCAAGCGGACCCTTCTTTCCAGAGACCCCTTGCTCCCTAGCCAGATACCGGCCTATCCCTAGCAGTATCAACCTCATCTGTCGGATCTCACCCCTGAAGCCAGCTAATTCCTAACACCTGCATCCTGGGACTTTCCCAAAACTCACCAGAACCCACATGTCCCCACACCCTCTCCTGCAAGGCATGGCCGGGCCCCCTCCCCTCCCGGTCCTGCCCACACTCCGTGGCTCCGGGGGCTTTGGCCCTGAGCTAAGTCTTTTGTAGCCCTCACCTGGACCATGTGCCAGGCACCCTGTCTCCTTCCTCTCCACTCCCTCCCGTCCACAAGGCCCTGGCTTCACATCCCATCGTCCCCTGCGTGTCCAGTGTTCTTTGCCCGAGTGAAGCTCCCGTTCATCCCTCAGCGCCCAGGCCCGATGCCTCCTCGTGCAGGTTTGCCTTGTGCCTGGGGCACAGGCAATAGGCTGGGCTCTCTGGATGTTCTTGAAGATGCTGCCCGCTCACGCGCGGCCTCAGCTGTCTCCTCTGGCCTGGTTGCTGAGCTGCCCTCATGGTGGCTTTGCTCCCAGGTGGTCCAGATGCAGTGTAACCTGGAGAGGAGCGAGGACAAGGCGCGCTGGCATGTGAGCAGGGCCCTGGGCCGGGCCGGGCCGGGCAGGCGGGCTGGGCTGCGCTACCCGGCCCAACCACACCCTCCCGCCTCCAGCTCACGCTGCTTTTGGTGCTGGAGGACAGGCTGCACAGGCAGTTGACCTACGACTTGCTCCCAAGTAGGCTGGCCGGGGACACGGGTGGTGGCTGGGGCCCAGCTGCCCAGTGCCGCCACCTCACGCACCCTCTGTCCTGTCCTTGCTGCAGCCGACAGCGCCCAGGACCTCGCGGCAGAGCTGGTGCACTACGGCTTCCTGCATGAGGTGGGCAGCGGGGAGGGGGGTGGGGGGCAGGGGGGCGCCCAGGACCTCACGGCAGAGCTGGTGCACTATGGCTTCGTGCATGGGTGGGCGAGGTGGGCAGCGGGGGCGGGGGGGGGGGGGACGGGGGGGGGGGGGGCGCCCAGGACCTCGCAGCAGAGCTGGTGCACTATGGCTTCCTGCATGGGTAGGCGAGGTGGGCAGCGGGGGTGGGGTGGCGGCTTTCCGCCTCACAGCTCTGTCTGCCACGCCTCGCTCCCCACTGCAGGACGACAAGGCGAAGCTGGCTGCCTTCCTGGAGAGCACGTTCCTCAAGTACCGGGGGACCCAGGCTTGACCCACACAGCCCTGGAAGCCCAGCGTGGCACTGCGGCTCAGGGTGGCCCCACTTAGGAGAGGCTGGCGCCCCCCAGAGCTGCCATCGGGGGGGCTCTCCCCTGAGTGAATGAATCCTGGGCCTGCTGGTGGGCCCCGGGGTGGGGGTGGAGCGCAGCAGAGTGAGGGAGCATGGGTGAGGGGTGGAGGGAGGGTAGGGGTCAGCCCTGGACAGACCTCTGCCAGGGAGCCTGCCACATCTGGCAGGGAGAGCAGGCACCCACCAGTGGCGTGACAGACCCAGGCCGGGAACCCGGAGAGCAAGCTGTGACCCAGCCTGGTGCGTGTGCAGCGTTGAGCTGGGAGCCAGCTGGCCAGAGAAGCAGGATGGAGCCTGCAGTCAGCAACACCCCGGGGGCTCTGGGCGGCTGAGCCCCATCCCTGATCTTCCATTCACACAAGACTGCCTGCTGCACCCCAAGGCTCCCCCGGAGAACAAGCGCCCCTCCCCGCTCCCCGGCAGTTGTGGCCCGGCCCCTGGCCCCGTCTCTCGCACTGGGCTCCTGCGGCTGGCGCGGGATGCTCACACCACCTTGGCTTCTAGCACTGCCTGTCTTCCAGTTTCCATCTTAGTTAACAGTCAAGGTGTTTTAACTTGTATGCGTAAACTTCATGCATTCAACTCCCTTTTTAAGCATTTCAAATGTCAAACCAGGAAGGCTCACCACTGTACTAGTTGTATATAGCTGCCGAACATCACAGACTTAGTGACTCAAGATAAACACACGCTTATGATGATTCTGTGGGTGGGAAGAACACCCAGGGTCCTACCAGACTAAATCAAGTGTTACATTGACTTTCATTGTATGTCTTCTCGGAGGTTCTGGTGGAATCTACTTCCTGCTCACTCAAGTGCTGACAAAATTCACTTCCTGGCCATGGTAGGGCCCAGGTTTCTTGAGTCAACTGAAGGCCACTCTGAGCTTCTAGGCCACCCACCATCTTGCTCCCTCCTCCTCTACATCAAGGCCAGCAGCACCCAGTTGAATCCGCTGTAAACCTATCACCTCCTTCTCCCGGAGGGAGGGTTCTCCCTGAGGATTCCTGTGATTAGATCAGGCCCACCCAAGAACCCCTCACAAGCTCTGTAAATCCACCACATCCACAAAGCACCCTCTGCCCTGTAGATTAACAGCAACTGGTAGCTCTGGTTAAGGAACTGACAATTTTTTTGGGGGGGAGGGGTGTTCTGCTTACCACACCACCTTAACCAAAAGCCAGAATTAAAACTTGCAAAGCAGGCTTATCAAATAAATGAACTAGAATGGATTTCAGGTTATCTTTAACATTCCAATAGCTTTACAAACTTCTTCAGATCCTCCTACTTTCCAGTATGAAATTGTACATCTCATATAAAGGGAATTCTGGGAGCTGGCTAGTCTTACACAGTTTCCATAAGCGATTGAAGCAGCGATTAAACGAGCTTGAAAGCACCAGCATTTCCAGTGCCGAACTTCGTTCAGTCTTTGTTGAGTTTCCTTTTAAGTGTTATCTTTCTGGAATTACATGCACACTGTCTTAAAAGTGGAATCATCTTTTGGGGTCAATCGCTAAGAAACTTAGTCTGTTCTCTGATCATCCCCAAATTCAATTCTCCTATGTTTTCTTCAGGCACTTAGAATGTGTTTCTCAAAAACCACACTGCTAGCCGAGTGCTGGTGGCTCACGCCTGTCATCCTCGCTACTCAGGAGGCTGAGATCTGAGGATCATGGTTCAAAGTCAGCCCAAGCAAGAAAGTCCATGAGACTCTTATCTCCAACAAATCACTCAGAAAACTAAAAGTGCTGCTGTGGCTCAAGTGGTAGAGTACTTGTCTTGAGCCGAAGAGCTTACGGACAGCACCCAGACCCAGAGTTCAAGCCCCATGACCACCACCACCAACAAAAACACTGCTGCTTTAACCAAAAGCCCAAACCCAAACAAAGAAAATTGCCAAGGCATACCAAATAAATTAACAATGAAAAGAATGTTTTGGTCTTGGGCTTTGTGGGGGATGGACAGCGGTGTCCGCAGTCCCATCTGCAGGGCTCATCTGCCGCCCCAGCCAGCCTCTCCCTGCAGGGCCAGGCCACTGCCACCTGTGGATTATCCAGCTGCATTGTCATGGGTGTCCCCGGAGAACGAGGTGTCCTGTGTTGTATTTTCTCTCTTGCACAACTGTTGTATCCCTGGAGTGGATAATTTTTTTAACTTGGTTTTGTGTGTCTGCCATTCATCTTTAGATACTCTGAGAAATGGACCGCCTCTCCATGCAATGGGCCTAATCAGTTTCTTGTTTTCCTGAGTCTCATCAAGTGAGCCCTGCTGCCATCCTAGGATACTTTCCCTGGGTGCCTGGAGCCCATCCTGTTGTCTCTACACCCCATGCGTTCCTCTCATCCCTTTGAAGAGGGGCTGTCTCCTGAGAGGATGCATGCAAAGTCATGGAGTCTGCCTGTTCGTCTTTGGTGTGTGTGTGTGTGTAAAGATGCTGTACAGAGGGGTTACAGTTACATAAGGCAATGAGTACATTACGTGTTGATCAGTTACTCCTTCCCTTCCCTTGTCCCATTATCCCTTCCCTTCCCCCACTCTCTCTCAGTC